ACTTTTAACTGCAGAAGAGTCATTTAGGCAGAAAATCTTAAAAATAATTAACACACTTCTTAAAACCATTCCTATTTCTTTGCCTTGCAGTAAAGGAGACCAATATTGGCATGAGCTGAAACCAACAAGAAATAAGTATCTGAACTGAGGTGTCATTCAACTGCATATTGAAATACAGATTTAGCAAGCACTAACTTGTTCTGCTGTGATTTTAGCAGGAGTAATTCTTATCAATTTACCTATGGAAAGTGATCTAAAGAAATGATGATAGAAGTCATTTTGCAGGATATTCTTCCCTGACTGAATTTAATGCATAAAAATTTCAACTTTCATGTACATAAAACTCAGCATTGCATTTTCATTTTCTGATAGTAGTGCTTTTTATTTCTTCATTTAAGCCCCTGTGGATCTTTCTTTTCATAGAAGATATGGCATTTTGCCAGAGGTTTTAAAATAGTAGGAATCTGAAGAGTGAAGAGAAATGCTTCAGCTGTGCCTGAACTGAAGAGATAGGATGACTGTATATGAAAAGTCACCATACGTGTCTCCAGAGTGCTGTCAGCTCCAGACTGAGCCACAGGATTCAAGCTTTTGAGCCATCCTGTGGAGACTGAATGAAATTGGTTTCAAAATTATAACAGTGTATCACAAATAGAAATTAAAATAGAAGTGAGAACAGTGAAATTATGTTTCTGTTCCTTTTTATACTGCATCAGGGACCACAAACTGTGATTTTCACAGTCACCTCTTAGGCTTGAGATCCAGTCTGTGCAGGTACCATCTAAATTGTTAAACCTATTTCACACCTGTGAGTGATCCAGTCCCTCTGTTTTCCAGGATTTTCTACCCTAAAAGTGCCAAAACTCATCAGGCAACTCCCTTTTTGGTCTGTAACTTCCGTGGACATCCACCCTTGCTTGTTCACATAGGCTCAGCAGACTCTGGGGAGACAGGCCTGTTTCTTCAACCACTGCAACCAGAGTTCGGTTCCTGCCTAAAACAGAGTTGAAGCCTGTGGCTCATGAGCTGCACGGCTGGAGTTGGCAAGGAGCTCTCTTCTGTCCTCTCTCCAACACCTCTGGCTTTTCTCCCTCAGCTCCGGACCCTTCTTGCCAGCCAAGCCAATGTCCCCTGCCCAGGACAGGAAGAGCGAGGCTGTATCCACCTCTTCACCATCTCCCTTCTCAGGAGAGAGGCAACTTCTTTTCCTTTCTGTCTTTGCCCACCCCTTCTTCCACTAATTCAGAAGGCACTTTTGAAGACTGGGGGATCATCTACAAACCCTTGTCTCATCATCTGGGTAATGGGGAGGTGTTTGTGACCTCCCAAGAAGTAAGAGACAGGATTTCCAAGATGTCATTTCCAATCAAATATGAAATGCCATTCCAAGATGGTGTTTCACCTTTCTTCCCATCCCCAGCACCTTCTGTGATTCAGGGTTTGAAATGGGTTTACTGGTTCCCCGGAAGGAGGGTTTGCAAGACTAGTAAGGCCTTGTAGCCCCTGCCATCCAGGTATGGGGAAGCATCCAGACACCACACATCCCCTCCTAGGTTACAACGGGATTGTCATCCCTACTCCATGTGAATAAAGTATAAATTTCTAGGTTTGCCTTGAAGTTACTCCCTGTCACCTTCCAAAGTAAGAAGGGCCAAAGGATTTAGAATTCCACTTTTCCTACAAGGGGACATTCAGGATTCTTGGAGACACAGTTACAAAAGGGTAAAGAAAGAACTACTGGAGTTCAGGTTTCTAATGTCTCACCTCACACTAGATCCTACCACAGAATAAAGGAGAACAACTCAGAGTCATTTATGGGATAAGAAGAATTTGTCACCCTGGAAACAGGAGATGACTAGAGTCCCCAGGATTCAAAAAAAGGCATTTCAGGTTCTCTGCCACCATTCCCAACTACAAAAAGTGGAGATGAGAATGATTTGGTACTTATGGCTAGAACAGAGGAGGATTTGACATCTTCCCAAGCATTCTTCAGCACTACATGAATTCGTTACAACAGCAGGCATATTTTGGACCTGACAACACTGTGTTTCTAATTGCAATACAGTTAGTTACTAGCTGTCTTTAAAGTCATTCTGAATCTACATTGAATGCATACAACTAGTGTGATCAAAAGAGAAAGAAGGAATAGGTATGGAAGGCTGCATTTTTTCAAGAAAATTGGACTTCCAACTTCTTCTCTGAGAAAAATTGAGGAAGAGCTTATTTGCCTGGTAGGCTATTATGTTCTGGCAGGGATGAAGAAGGTAAATCTAGAACGCTGTTGCACAGCTTTCCATTGGGAATGCCTATTCATCAGCAAGTGGAAGCAAAATTTGACGGGTTAGCAGTTTGCAATTAGCAGACAGAATAAAGAAGTAGTATTGTTATGCAATGATGGAAGCATAGAGAAAATCCTGAAGTCTAATTCAGGCAGTGATTTTTTTAAGCAGTGTCCCCAGCTGGTAGCAAGTACTGTCGTGTCTTGAGATGAAATGTTGAGAGTGTCAATCTATTACACAAGGCTATTTCCAACTCACTGTATCCTTGTCTTTGGAAATATGCTTGTGAACAGAGAAGGGGCATTAAAACAGATGATGGCAGGTTTAGGCACTGAGACCACTTGTTCTACCCCAGTGAAGAGCACAGATGGTACCAGTGTAAGGCTGCTAGCTCTTCTGCAGAGATTTTAAAATGGGGAAGGGGTTTGCTGCATCAAAGCCAGTGTGTGATGTGACCTCAGGGAAAGCTGTTAAATGAATTTAAGGCAGTAATAGAGTTACTTTATGTAAAATTAGGTATCCCAGAAGATTCAGCCTCTTTGGGGTAGAAACAGAAATGCTCAGTCAGAACACTGTCAAATTTGATTGCATACACTGACTGCATAGCTAGCAAAGAAAATCTCAGCACCACCTGAATGAAACTTATACTGACACTTACAGTATCCATTATATGTATTATCAAAAGTTGAATGTCCAGTAATCACCAATACAAGGAGGCTGAAAGGTAAATCCTGATCTGCTGGCCTGGGGCAGAGTTGGAAGTGTGCTTGCTCAGCAACACAGACACAATGGAGCCATGCTTTGAACTCGAGGAGCCATGAGGGAGACCTGGATGTCTGCAAGTGTTTGGCTGGCCTTTCTGCATGGTTAATATTGCACAGAGTTTGTTAGACTGTCTGTTAAGGAAAAAAAAAAAAAAAAAAGGCTCACAGCAGTGGGTGATTGTGTTGTCCTAAAACATGAAAACAAGCTTTCTCTGTAGCAGAAAAACAAGCAACTGGAGGCCACAGTGCACACTTTCTCAAATTTACAAAAAAAAAAAAAAAAAAAAAAGTTCTCATCTAACAGACATACAGGTGAAGTGACAGCGTTGTGCCAGCAACTTATGGCCAGACTTCATCCCTCAAAAATGGGCTGCTTGCTTCAGGAGCACAGTCACTGTAGGCTTCCTGGACAGTTTTTGGAGAAGGCAGCCACCTCTAGAAGTTGACAAAGATCTTAGATAGGCTGACTTACACCATGAGGCTATTTCTTTCCATTGGCTGTTGAGAGGCTGTGGAAGACATGAGCTCCTAATGAAGGAGCTTCACTTCTGTGCCTACTTATTGGTGCTGCCTAAGTATAAACAGGATTGATCTAGGTTTTAGTTAATAATTAGCAAACGAAAAGAGAATGTATTAAGATATATTTTAAAAACTCTTGTGTCCCCAGATACCCAATGAAGGGTTTTTTTCCTTAAATGTCAGCAATGCACTTACTTAGAGCCACTAATACTCTGTTTTAGGGTGAGGTATTTCTGAGGCATGTCTCTACATCCCGATTTTCAAAATACTTTCGCAGCGAGCTCCAGTGAAGGCATTACACTTCGACTGAAATCAGGCCAGTAGCTGAACAGGAGCCTGGCTCTGCACGCCTTTCACAGGGACAACAGCAGCAGCACCGCTGTGCTCTTAACAACTCATCTCCAGCTTTTGCAAGTAACTACCAGGTGATGCTAACACCTTTTTCTGTTGCTGCAGCTCTGTTGCTGGAGCTCAAGTTGTCATTTACTTAGACTGTAATCAAATTTCAGCGGCTTGTCAGGCTGTATAGGAAACTCACTTGCGGAAGCCGATGACCAGCCCTGGCTCTGAGCCTGCCACCCCCTGCTCCCACCCCACCCCTTAGGGAAGGGGTGTCAGTGGTCTCCTGCGTCGTTAAGATGGTCCCTTTAACATGGGAATAAATTAATCGCCACTAATGGAAGACTAACTGCAATCCTGTACTCTACACCTTTGGTCTTTTCCTTAAAACACCACAAAACAACACCTGAAACCAAACCGAACTGGTGCAGAAAAGGTGGAAGTTGGAATGTTCTAGAAACAGGCAAAGCGAATGCCCTGCCTGTGCTCGCGAGGTGCGAGAGCCCATCCTGTGCACCAGAGGAAACCTTCGGCAGGTCACAACTGGCATTTAAATCCATCAACTCGTTATTTGTGATTACATGTAGTTTTCCCCTGAGGGCATTTATTTTCTAAAAATAAAATGAAATTCTCTAAATGCCTTCATTCTGTAGTTGAACAACAACGTTATCTCCTGGGGACATCTCCCTGTCCTTAACAGCCTGTCTGGTAGGTGTGTTTTATTCTCAGATGTCCCAACTCGTGTTAAGAGTCCACGCAACTGAATACCAGGTTTTTGCAATGTGCTGAGCCAGTTCTCACTTTGCAGACCGGGTCAAATTGTTTTGCCCGAAGGAGATGAGAGTGGCAGCCTGAGACCTGCCTTTAACGAGAAGTCCATCCGTCACGCCCACACAATCGGTTCAAAAGTATAACTCAATAATCAAACTTAGCTCGATTTATTTCCTCCCCATAAAGATCTGTGAGGCATTTCCAAACGGAACTTGTTTTGCATGCGGTAAACAACCAAATATACTGACCTCCTACTCCAGAAAAGAGAAGTTTTTACTGGGAGGTGACAGTCCCTGAGTTACTGGGGGGGGCTGAGGGGGGTGAGCGTATGACGCCCTTGCACAACGAGTTTCTCCTAATTACTGCTACCCGACAGATCGCCGATGCGATGTGCCTTGCCAAGGTAGCACGAAGGAAATGCTGCGTGAAGCAAAAATAATTTTTATTTCCTCACCTTCCCCCCCGCATGGCTGCCTCCCCTCAGCCCCGCCGCCGGGTCCGCTGCCCGCCGGGCTCCCCGACGGCGGCGGGCCGGGGGGCCCTCC